TCGCTTTAGTGTGACAAACTCAACAAAGATGGCAATTGCTATAATACTGACGACATATATTTTTCCAAATAATGAATAACTAACTGAAAAAAAAATCGTGGTCGGTAATAAAGTCACAGGAAAAAACAGTCGCATAATAAAGTCACAATTTGGGCTAGGAAAAAGTCACAACTTTGGCTAGGAAGAAATTCACAATTAATTTATATAGTAGCCGGTAACACAGTCCTCGGTTGGCTGATTCGTGAGTCTATGGGTCGGCTCTGTTTACAACAGAAATTCATAGTAAATCGATCTATAAAAAGAATACCCGCTCGGCCCGGTGGCTAGGATCAAAGTGTAGTATCTGCGCTTTGTGAACTGCCGGGTCGGGTGTCTGTCGAACTCTCTGCTTGCAGAGAGGAACCCGGACGAAGCTCCGCCGAAGGGTAGGGTTTCGTTGGGGGAGGTTGACGGAACTGGCCCGCTTGGACGGGTTTGGATGGTTATTTATTTTTGGCTGAAGTCGGGATATCAAAGAGGAAAGCTCATCAGAACAAAATCATAAAAATATTTATAGAAAACGCACCGGGAAGCTAAGTTACAGTGGTGTGAAAGTGACTTAATCCGAGATGTCAGATTAAAACCGATAACATTGCACTGCAGAGTGAATTTGTTAGTTCAACACATATCCTAACTTCTCAATCAGATTGAGATCTGAGATATGTGAATACCCACATTAAAAAAGCCTTGTGCCACATTCGATCCCCGTGGGTGGATTGATAAATACCATCTAACATATTTGATATCATAGTTAGGGAGTCCGAGTATCCTACCATAAGACCCAACTTTATGTGAATAAATTCTCAATTTGACATTAAAATTTGAATTAAAGGTCTTTGACTTTTCACTTTATTTATGAGACTGGGATTTTGTCCACTTCTTTTGGATAAGAGGCCAGGATTTTGTTCGCTGTCTGCTAATCTTGTCCTGTTGCTTTTTTTTTCCTGTAACTTTTTTACCGTGGCGTTTTTTCCTGTGGCTTTTGTTTTTTCCTGGATTCATTTTGGCGTAGATCATGTCATTGAACCTCTCTGCTCTAGTCTACATTCTATCTACACACCTATACTAATTAATTGATCTCAGTACTTTTTCATCGTTTCAATTATCTTCTGTATCTCTTTTTAATTTCCCGTAAATCTTCGGGTTGGTTTATTTCTATTGTACCAATATTTATGAGCAAACAAAGGATTTTTGATTTTCCATGGTTAATATGAATCATCATCATCATCATCATCATCATTGTGGGTCTTAACTCCACTTACTTTCCTGAAACTGCTACTAGGGAACGCTCTCCGGACTATAAATATTTTGCGATAATTTTTCGTAGCCTCTTTTTACTTTTTCTGCTTACACGTCAACATGTAAGTCTCCCGCGGAAGGCTACTAGGGGACTCTCTCTGGACTATAAATATTTTGCGATAATTTTTCGTAGCCTCTTTTTACTTTTTCCGCTTACACGTCAACATGTAAGTCTCCCACGGAAAAACGCGTTTTCCATTGGTAAACACATAAACAAACCTCACCCACATACAACACACGTACGTATGCACATTCACTCACTTCATATCCTTTGGACCAAAAAGGTTTCCTCATTCTTTTCTTACACACATCATTGTCTTTGTATACCTTTCTTTGTTAATACATTATCATTTGTTTGTATATGTATCGGTTCTTGCTGTTTCTTTGTATTTTATCATGGCGGACACACATGCAAGTCGTCCATTTTTGTTGTGGATATTCCAGGAGACGCGTGTTCCTCAATTCAAACACTCAACGTACTACTACCTACAACAGTCTAAAAGAAATTTTTGAATTGATTAATTATAAAAACATCGTAATCGATCATTTTAATTTGATGTTATGTGATTTTTTTTTTATGTGTAAATTCCAGCTGTCTGATCAATCAAGATCTTAAATTCCAAAATTTTAACGTCATTTTTCATGAAAGACAAACAAAAAAAAAAAAATAGAAAAAAAACCAATGAGTGAGTTTAAAGTAAGAAATGCTTTTTTTTTATTTTTTTGTCTTTCTGTTTATTTTCTCCTATTTTGGACAATTAATACACTATTTTTTTTTTAATGTGTTTTAATAAATCTTCTTTTATGTGCCGTGTCCTGTCAGGATATGGATGATCATGGCTCTCCACAGGTTCTTATCCTTTGTACCTCTTAACAATATGCGTTCCCTTACTATTCTTGTTCTGTTATCCATAGGTAGATAGGTAGGTTACTCCATGTTTCACTCTGCTCTTTTTAATTTTCCTGTGAGTGACAAATTCACCCAACCTTCTTTCTTTATGTTTCTCAGACATTTAAACTCTCTCTTTCAGAAATTTAAACTGAATTGGCAAAAACAGTTATAAATATATCACGCTTATTTACTTATACGCAAATGTATATTATAACTTTTAAAAAAATCATTTCAATTCAAGGAAAGTGAAAAAGCCACTAAGACGCAAGACAGTGAAACAAACCGAGTAAAATGTTTTCTGGGTAGAAAGGACAAAAAAAAAATAAATAAAATAAAATAACAGGATCCAAGGCCAAAGAAGATTGCATTAAAAGTTTTGAAGAGTGTAGTTGACAGGAAAGCAAGCGGCTAGAGGAGAGTTCCACAGACGAGAAGTGCGAAAGAAGAAACGATCAAAGTAGAACTTACGCTTACACTTAGCAATTTCAACAGTAAAAAGATGAGACCTAGCTGCCAATCTAGTTCTTCATGAAGTCGGGATATCAAAGAGGAAAGCTCATCAGAACAAAATCATAAAAATATTTATAGAAAATGCACCGGGAAGCTAAGTTACAGTGGTGTGAAAGTGACTTAATCCGAGATGCCAGATTAAAACCGATAACATTGCACTGCAGAGTGAATTTGTTAGTTTAACACATATCCTAACTTCTCAATCAGATTGAGATCTGAGATATGTGAATTTGATAGTCGACAACATAATGAAATCTTTTCTTCATGTTCTTGAAACAATTCCTGTACTGCTTGTACAGAGTAGCAAAAGGCATTGTTCTGATGAAAGATACCACTGACATCGTAGATGACTGTTACTATGATGGAGTGTCCCTGGCCTTCAGGGAGCCTGAGGTAGATGGTACGCGTCAAAGTTAATTCCACATTAATCATACGACTTCTCGCGTCTATAAGTCTTGACCGCTCAATGTCTTGTCGGAGTTTGATCATTTTTTCTTTCTCACGCCATTGTCGATAGGTAATCCCAACTAAGCATATAACTCCATGCGCGATTTCGGAAATAATCTTTACTGAAGTAACCAGACTCTACCACTGTAGCTAAATTGTATAGCATGTCAGGCTATATGACGGTCATGTATAGGATACAGGTTCAATTCTTGTCGGAGGAAACATATTTTCTATAAAAATTTTCGGACATTCAGACCGGTAAATGTTGTTAATACTGTTTATTATAAACAAAGCATTTACTTAAATATTTGTATCTATAAAAATAACGTATAAACAATAAATATATTAAAATAATTATCAGACTTAGTCCATTTCATGATATATGACGTCATTTGATTTACGCTTCGAGAGAAATCATAGGAAGTTTGTAGTTTAAAGCAGTATTTCGATCTGGCTAACCAGACGCTACCACTGTAGCTAAATGGTATAGCACGTCAGGATATATGACAGTTCTGTGTAGGATACAGGTTCGTCGAAGTTAATTCCACGCTCATCATAATATCCGATGATAACAGTTCGTTCCAGCAAGATAATGGTTGTTGTAATGGTAATATTAAGCGTTACCTGTTGTATTTTTTATCATTTCACCCCAAGCAAGGCGATAAAACCCTTAAGACGCATTGGGTTGCTGAGAATGAAGGAAACCGAGAATAAAACACTAAAATAATAGGATTCTAGCAGACAAGAAGATTGATGTTGCATTTTTAAATTTTTGAAGATTGTAATTGTCATGAAGCAAAAAGTTAGAAGTTCGACATTATTAGTGTTGGCTGTTGGTATTTTAATATTCGTGAAGTTTAAACAAAAATTATTTTATTTTTAGCTTTTTAAATAAAATTTTTATAAAATGCAGATTGTGACTTGAAAAATTATCCATTTGATTTTTCTTCATTACGACACTGAAATATATTTCCTATTTTTGTTTTTTTTAATTTATTCATTGAAGAACATTAATTTTCCAAATTTTTTGACAGCTGTTTAATCTGAGAATAATCGCTATTAAAAAGACTTTTTTTTCTTTGCACTGCGAGACAATGCATACCACAACCTGATTATTTTCAGCACATTTAAAATATTTTTAGCCATAAAAGTTAACAGTAACACCTTTTTTTGAGTAGAATTAATTTCTTTAATGAAATGCTGTAATGATACAGAAATAAAATTTAATGTGTGTATGTGTGTTATGTGTATTTTAATGCGATGCTTGTTATAGATAGAGATAGATAGATAGATAATGAACAGAATTAGATAGATAGATAGATAGATAGATAATGAACAGAATTAGATAATGAACAGAATTAAATAGATAGATAGATAGATAGATAGATAGATAGATAGATAGATAGATAGATAGATAGATAGATAGATAATGAACAGAATTAGATAGATAGATAGATAGATAATGAACAGAATTAGATAGATAGATAGATAGATAGATAGATAGATAGATAGATAGATAGATAATGAACAGAATTAGATAGATAGATAGATAGATAGATAGATAGATAGATAGATAGATAGATAGATAGATAGATAGATAATGAACAGAATTAGATAGATGAATAGATAGATAGATAGATAGATAGATAGATAGATAATGAAATGAATGAACAGAATTAGATAATGAACAGAATTAGATAGATAGATAGATAGAGAGATAGATAGATAGATAGATAGATGAATAGATAGATAATGAACAGAATTAGATAGATAGATAGAATAGATAGATAGATGAATAGATAGATAGATAGAATTAATAGATAGATAGATAGATAATGAACAGAATTAGATAGATAGATAGATAGATAGATAGAAGATAGATAGATAGATAGATAGATAATAGAATAGATAGATAGATAGATAGATAGATAGATAGATAGATGAATAGATAGATAGATAGATAGATAGATAGATAGATAGATAATGAATAGAAGAGAAGATAGATAGATAGATAATGAACAGAATTAGATAGATAGATAATAGATAGATAGATAGATAGATAGATAGATAGATGATAGATAGATAGATAGAATAATGAACAGAATAGATAATGAACAGAATTAGATAATGAGATGAATAGATAGATAGATAGATAGATAGATAGATAGATAGATAGATAGATAGATAGATAGATGTACCTCCACTATTTCGGTATAAATTTTCGATAACTAAGGTTTAAAAGAATAGACTGAATGCGATAAATAATTAGATAAAAACCGAGACCAATCGATAGATCGATAGGTAAACTGAGATAGATAGAGATAGATAGATAGATAGATGAATGATAGATAGATAGATAGATAGATACGACTACGTTAAAAAAATAAAACCGCTCTACCAATTCCAAAACTGCTGTCTAAATAAATTGGCAAAAAACAATAAAAAAACAAAAAACAATCCTCATCTCAATATCTCTAACAAAGGTTGAAGCATGGTAAACACTGCTGACTGACACATACCAGGAAAACATGACAATGTTACTAGCAGATAAATAAAGACTATTAAAAAAAAAATTAAATTTTCACTACATACTTTTAGTTTAAAATTAATCCTCTAAATGTGAAACTAATTATTTTCGAACAAAAAAATTCTCAAGTCTCATTGAAGAATTATTGTCACAACAAGACAATAAAGAAACAAAAAAAGTTAAAAAAAACTCATTTAAAGTTAAAACACAAATTATCAAATGTAATTTAAAATGTAACAAATGGAAACCCATAAAAAGACCAACAGAACCTCTTGGGGGCCATTTCCATTTCACATATATGTATCATCTGTCTAGGAGTAAGGGATAGCGGCTCGAATTGAGGAATCGGAGAGCCAAGTTCGAATTCCAGTCGAATGAACCCTCTTTTCCTCCTCGGGTTCTATAGCCTTGGATAGCAACTGGTCTACTGCAGAAAGAAATAGCAACCTACTGCGGGGGTGGGGATCTGCCTCGTCAGTCATGTATCGAAAGATACATGATCGCCTAAGCGTGTATCACGAATGGCACATAGCTGACTGACTGTATCTTTCTGTGGAAGAAGGGCGGGTACAAACTGAAGCTATGTGAATAATGATATCAATGATCAAATATTAAGAAAGGTATTTTTGTTGGTTGGTTGGTTGAAGTAAAAAAAAAAAATCATTGCTCTCATAGCCGAAAGTCACTCTAAGTGACGATAAGAAAGATTTATTTTATGGTCATTTTCATTCAATCTACTTCTTAACTTTTCAGGTAAATTTTTCGAGAATGTTTTCTACTCAGTATGATGAAGATAACTAATTTTAGTCGCTTACCTAATTTTTTTTTATATGCGTCCTTCGTTGAATTTGATTAAAAAAAAAAAAAAAAAAAAATATGAAAGAAAAATTCTTTAATTTGAAGTCGGTGAAAGTTAGCTGATTTTTTTTTAAGTATATACTTAACTTATTTATACACTTTTGTTTTCTTTTCGCTTAAAGAACAAAAAACAGTAACAGAACGTCCGGCCTTGTGCCACATACACCCACGTTTATTAACAGTAACAGAAGGTACACTAGTAAAAACGTTGGACACTACTGGCCCACTTATGAAAAATTTTGGAGGGAAGAAATATTTTTTGTGGATTCGCATTCTAATTTTAGAGTTTAGGCCGCGCCACTTTTCGGAATCGAAATTGTTATCGGCATTTCTTTAGGTGGGGTATTTTTTTTTTTGTTTTTGTTTTTAGTAAACTAAAAACAAATATATATATTTTTTGAGAACAAAAAAATTTACATTTTATGTTTTTTTATTCTTCATTTTTAGACACAGACTTCCGAGACAAATATTTTTTTTTAAATGTTAAAAAAAAAGAAAATTGGAAAATTTTAAAAATATATGCAGATACCAATAACACATTTTCAAACTTGACATTTGTAAAGTTATAGTAAATAGCAACTAGGTGACAAGGACACTAACTCTGTAAAAATTCAGGGATTGACTTGACATTGTATCGATATTAAACAGGACCCCCCTCCCCCACCCTTCAAATCGATAACAAATCAATATTTTTCGATTCTGACAAGTGTCGCGGTTTTAAGAAAGGTTTTAATAATAACAAATGCTAATCTACAACAACTATTTTCCCAATAATTTCCCTATTTTTTTATGAGTGACCAAGTAAGTAGTACGTCGTAAGATAAAGATAAAAAAAAGTAACAAACACAAAAAATACTAAAAAAAATACTCAAATTACATGTAAATAGTATCTTGGATACCATGGAGTTTTTCATGTGAGAAAAAAAAGCAATGTACACTGTCACTATTGAAACAATTACTTTCTAGGTGGAGACAAAGTAAATAAAATATAATTCTTTTTTTTTTTTTTTTTGTTACTTGAACTTGTTTGTTTTTGTTTATCTCATCTGTAACCATTTTTTAAAAATTAATTTTCCAATTTTTTCACAAATACAGATGTGCAAAAATATACTATCCCAAAGCAGTCTGAAAAAAAAAGAAAAAACAATTAAAAAAAACATTTTAAATACCACATCTAACAAAAAACTTGATAAAAAAATCACCAACGTAAAAAGTGGCGACAGATAACCCACAAAAAAAGTATCTTCGATTTTCTTCTTAAAGTTTTTTCTATTATTTAAATTTCATTAAAAAATTGGCAAAAATTTTAATTTTTATGAATAATACATAAAATTTTTGTACGGCTGCCGTAACTTTATTGGCCGAAGAACATATACGGAAAAGTTGAAGAGAAAAAAAAAAAGGTGGATTTTATTTATATTTTCAACAGCCCGCAAGGGAACGTATGAGAAGTTGAATCAAGCAATCAGCCCGACCCACTGCAACCAAAAATGGGCACATACTGTTGACGTTATTGTGGGTGGGCACGAGAAAGAGCCCATTATCCTTACAACTGTCATTCATTCTTTCTTTCGATACTGGTAACATTTTCGCATGAATGAAGTAAAATTTTATCTCATTTTTTTCTGCTTCTTTTATCTGTTTTTTGCTCTCTTTTTTTTTTCTTTTTTAATTTTCTTTCTTTACATATTCACGTTGTATTTATTTGATGTTACATTTTTAAATACTTTATTTTTAATGTCATTTATGACTATTATTTAAAAATTAGCATCATTACTAATTAATCAGTTATTAGAAGAAAAAGAAGGAATTAACAGGAGGAAAACTAAAAGTATTTTTTTATTTATTAAAAAAATATTAAATAATAAACTATTATTCATTTAATTTTATTATTAAATTTATTAAATGATAAGTTATTTATTCGCAAATTTTGAAATACTGTTTTCGTAGTCATAATTTTATAGTCATTATTGTGGCTTAAGTGCAGTTTCAAAAAAGTAACGTTTTTATTTTTATTTTTCGGTAGCAAGAATTAAGAAATCATATTGAATTAAGGGTTAAATAAAAAAAAAAAAAAACAGGCAGAAAAAGAACTCTAACATGTTTGGCTGTTAATTTAGCAATAGCGTCATCAGAAATTTTTGGAAGCAGAAAGAAAGAGTTAGAACATTTTTGAAAGCTAACTAAATGAATAGCAAAAAACATTAAGGTTTTCCTAACTAGTCACTCAAAGTCAAAAAGGATGACATTGAATTTCTCAAGTTTTCTTTCATGAAATTAAGTAATGAAATTTGAAAACACATGTAAAAAATTATATTTTACCAAGATTTTCTAATAAAAAACATTTCTAAAATAATTTCATTCATTTGAGAATAAGTCCTGGAATTAAAATCCAACAATTATTTGACTTTTGCAAGAATTTCCAAATGTACCTACCACCGCAAAAAAAAAAGAAAGAAAAACGCTAAAATTTACTACAGTGTAACCCGGATATAAGAGAGTTGTCGGGACCGGAGAAGTCTCTTATATCCGGGTTACACTGTATACCAAAATATATTACACCTGCTGATGCAAGAAAAACAAGATTTTTAATCAAAATTTCGAATGTTCTAAAAAGGAGTAAAAAATTTAATTAAATATTCAAAAAATATTTTCTCATTCTCATAATAAAGTGATCAAGGTGATCATAAAAGTATGTTTGCATTACATTTGAAGCGTTTTCATATGCTTTTTTTTTTTTTTTAGCAATTTCGAATAGGTACCTCTTAGGCATAAAAAAAAAATATTTTCTTTTTTTTTACTATGGGACCAGTTTCTTTCAGTAGTTCCATTCAAACAATCATTCTGTCGGATCTAATCCATAATAATTTCAACACGCATCTGAACTGACGATACACAATATCAGCAAATATAAAATAGCTTCTTTTTATTATTATTATTTTTTTATTAATTGCAACGACCAAACAAACGTAATGGGAATCTTTATTAGAGACAGTCAAAAAATGTTCATCTGTCAATTTTAAAATGCGACTATGCCATCGGCAATTACATTTACTTTCTATATTTGGCAACCATTAACTGGATAGTAGTCATATGGTGACTGTATGAATGTGCGCGCAAGCGCACGAGCGTATATCATCATCATCAACATCCATGATGTCAGCGATTTACCATGTTTTTAATGAATGTGAAATGTTATAAGATTAAGAGTTCATTTTTTTTTTTTTGGAAGGTGTACAGGCTTTTTTTTTTTTAATTATAAAAGAGTAATATCATGAATAATGTTTAAATATATCAATGGATGGGATGGTCTCGAATCCTCCCATAAAAAATGATGTTGTCCGCGAGGTGAAAATGTTTCTACTCTGATTTAACAAAGACTCAAATTCCTAAGTTTAAATGAATCGGAAATTACAAACAAATAAAGTTTTATTATAACAAGGTATATCTACTTTAGCAGCATGGAGACTAAATATGTCAAAGACACTAAAAATTGTAGTCATTTAACTAGAATGTTCAATTATTTTTTAGTAGATACCGAGAAGGTATCAATGTAATAAAATTGTTTCCGTAGAAAGCCAGTGTTACTAGTTAAAATTTACAATATAGTAAAGCTTGAAATTCAATAGGAAATTAACCGAAACCTATCACCTGTACGGTTTCGAATCCTCCCATCAAATATTAAAAAAGACTAATATGGCCAGAGGTACTGTGGGTTAAGTACCCTAATTTAAGGATAATAATCTCAATAATGTAAACCCTTATTACAATATAGAATCAAGAAAATATTACATTTAACATTGATAATGAAATTTATTTTATTCTGACAACGAAAAAAAAAATGATATGGCAAGATTTGAAAATCATTAATAAAATTTATGAACGCAACACATTAACAAGTAAAGTAATGCATGATTACAAGAGAAACATTTACGAAAATTTCTCTTTTCATGTTTCATTAAAATTCTTTGATACAAAAAGATAATACTTCTGGGTGTATATACCGCTCTTAAAATTCACAATTGAATAATATGTGTGTGAGAGTTTGTTTTCTATGAAGGTCTTTTTTTAATGAAATATTTATTCAAGGTGTATGAATCATATTTTTTATCAAAAAGAAATTTAAAAAGATTGATCTCTAAGTGAGATCGATAGACACCGCTACATTTTATCGATTTTTAAAGATATGTTAGGCGAAATTAGGCGTTATCATTTAAACAAGAGCTCGTAATGACGTCATATCTCCAATAGCAACGTCAAAAGATGGTTAACTTAACTATATTAGTTATTTCGGAACTAGACTACTAGTCGGGAATTTCTAAGTGGGGTAATGGCTAGCAAAATCGTCTCTATCGTTATTACTGAGTAGTGAGTTCGATCCTCACTGCGTACCACATAGTGATGATCTTGTGCCAAAACTAAGTTAAATTTAGTAAATAGCAACTAAAACGATGGTCAAGATAGTAGTTGAATGGGGCACAATATCACTCTCCACTGAGAGAGATTGTAATCATTTTAAGTCTCACTAACGTTGAGAATTGTGGGGAGTGGGAGCGACAGTCAAACAGATAATACAAATGACCACGGGACAGAGATTGAAATTCGGCTGATTTTTTTCTTTCTTTTCTTTTTGGTGTCCAGGCGAGAAATTCAGTTTCTGTTGCAAGAAGAATGTACAAAAATGAACAAAAAGTTGACACTTGCTTGAACGTATTCAACAACGTGTTCAAATCAGAGGCGTATGTGTTGAGAATGACAGAAGTCATCCAAACTAGCAATATTTGAATTTGAGGGGAGATTTAAGTGTTGTTGGTCAGCATTACATGAAAGTTATTTCTCCGAATAGTAAAAATTGCCGGGAAAATCGTATTTAGATGAAGTAAAATAAAAATCTATATCTATGCAACAAAGTACTGACGGTATAAAAAAAATCACTTTTAAAAAGAATGTATTAAAAATGTACGAGAAAAATAGTCGACGGTTTTATTTACATATATATATATATATAAACGTTTATTTTGAGTATGAAGTTGAAGATTTGGAAGTACAAAAAGAAATAAATAAGAAGTTGAATTTTGCTCTAATGTACTAACTAGTAGATTTAAAACTAGTTCCTTATTTCAAACTAAGTAAAGATAGTGCTGCTGTTGCTAAAATCAACGAAGAAGTCTTTATGATTGCTTTAGATCCCAAACTTAAATGTCCTAAGGGGAGAAATTTTGACAAAGATGTTTGCATTTTTTAAAAAACTTTTTCACTCTGCTTGAAAATTGTGTAGTATAACAAATGTCAAATGGAAAAAGTTAAATTATTTACTTATGCGAAAGTTTCTTCTACACAGGACCTGTGCAAGGGTCACTTGACCCACTATCCATGATACGAGGTTTCCAACTCCCCTACTTTTAACTATTTATAAGGTAGTATTTATATAATATACACATTTTATTGTAACCTACAATAATTGGCTAATATGCAATATAGGTGAACAATTCGACTAGAAACATTGAAAATAAATATATATTGTTTTAATTAAAACTATTATGGCAAAAGGCCAAAGGGGAAACGGGGAAAGGCAGGTCGCCAGTTTCTATCCTAGACCTAGCTAATCTGATTCACGACCCATTCATTCATTACAATTTGCTCATTAACCACAAAAACTCATCCCTCGCCATTCAATAGTACATATACCAAAATACCACAAATTTACAGAAAAAACTAAAAAAAAAAAAATCTGACATAAAATTTCGATATGTACAAATAGTTCAAATGTTTCTTTTTTTCCATTTTTTTTTAATATATAAAAATATATGCTCATGAAACGAGGGGGTGGGGATGAACCCAGAAAACGAAATTTAAGCATCACAAAACGTTCAAAGTAAATATAACAGATGTTAGTAAGACCCAACCACCCCACAAAAATAATAAGAGCGACCGCTGTATTCTGACTTTAAACTGAATCAAAAAGCACACTTGCTAACAGAGAGGGAAGGATAAAAATAGACGGAGTGGGGAAAGAACAAAGGCTGACCCAGTCGGGATGAAAAAGGGGACAAAAAACAAACGGAAAGATTGGGAATCTCGACATGGATCATAACAAAAGAGAGAGTCGGTAACAGGTCAGGAACAACATTTACCCACATTAACTAGTTAAACAAAGACTTAACCAAGGGAGAGTTCACAGGAAACCAACCTGTTGCCTCAAAGAGGACTTAAAAAAGAAAATCAAGGCTGGTCCCATTCACTCGCAGCAAACTAAGCACTTTTACCCACCTTTCGCTGAAATCTGTCCATAACAAACGCTTTCTATCAGTTCTGATCTTTATCTTGAGTTGATGCCGAAAGAATCCGACCAGAACCCGATGGGAATAGCGTTCGTATCACAATATCCCCTCCATTCACGACGTTCATATCACCATTCTTGCTACGGCTAGTAACGTGAGAAACACCATTCGTTTCACCCCCAGAGAACGGGGGCGACACATTATCACACGTGTATGCGAGATCGATGGACACGAGATGTTTGTGATCAATACACCGACATAGTCCCAGAACAGGCTCACCTGAGGAGAATGGTAGAATGCGTGCGAAGCCGTTTCCTCTAGACCAAGGTCACACCGATGACAGTCTGGCAAATCTGACAAAGGCAACGTCATTGGTAGATAGTCCGTTTCGAATTAATTGCGAGGTATGCGAAAACTCAGGATTGCTGAAGTAATCCGCTGCTGGCACCCGAAACCAGAAAGAGCGCAACTCGGTCGTTGACAAGCCTAGCTGCCCATCGTGGGTGGGGAGCCTTCGTGACTCCGCTAAGATACAATAGTCTCCCTAGGCATTGAAAATTCACTAGGCCGAGGAATGTCCCGGCCTGTAAGGCCGCTGGACACTTTCCGAGGAAACTCGACTGATTCCGAAGCCTACGACAACGCTCAGTTCTAGTGACAAGAGGATTGATAGTAAGGCGAGGAAAGACGTCCCTAACATTCTCCCCCAAGATAGAGACTCCTGTCAACGCGTGATATAGGAAAGCCAACTTCGAGGCATGTCGATGACTCACCAAGTTTGGCAATCCCAGCCACCACCACTCTAATGACACGGGCGCAGGAAACAGGTTTCTTTGCAGACCGGATGCTTGCAACCATCCCACAAGATGGTGAGGAGCAAGCTCTCGATCACCTTCCTACGGTCTCTACAAAGAGGGAGTACAGCCAACCGGTATAGGATAAGAGGAAAGATGTATGTAGCGCACACCTCAGCCATACCCTTCACAAGACAGACAACCACTTTAGGAGCCAAGTCTGGACTGCCTGTCCGACCTTTGCCTGCATCTCCGACCAATTCTTCTCTAGCTGTAGCCCGGGTCCGAGCCACACTCCAAGATGGGAACGAGTCCGTCTGTCCAACTGAAGGTCCCCTAATCGCAAACCGGGACACTTGTTAAGGTTAATCTTGGCCCCCGTGTTTTTCTCGTAGCATTAAAGCGTCTTCTGCACCTTCTCAATGTTGCTGCGGCACGACACGAAAATGGATACGCCATCGGCGTAAGTGGAAACTCTGGCTCGAGTCCCACCAAGAAGCGATTCCACGTAGGGCCGGGATGAATGTCCTGTCCCTGAGGTAGGCCTCCAACACCAAAACATAAAGCAGGGGAGACAACGAGTAACCCTGACGAACCGACCGTAACAGCGCAAAAATGCGTGACCGCCTCCTCTTCACTTGCACCACAGTCGGATTTGAATCCGGTGGCTTACAAAACAGCAGCAAGGTACTTATGGTCGACATATCGAACGCCTTGGACTGATCCAAACTGATCATCACGACTTCGACGTCGTCGTCGTCGTCTACATTCTCTATTTATTACATAGATATCGGTTTATAACAAAGACGGGAATTATAAAGTTAATTGTCTATCGGATACAGAAAACCAAAGATCACATTTCTCTGAATCTGTACTTAAAAAACTAAAAGGTAAAAATTATTTCGCTGCACCAACTGAATGTAAAGACCTTCTTCGGTTCGAAACAAAAAAGTTTAAGTAATTTTTTATATAAGTTTTCATAACTTATCGTTCCTTACCTATACTCATCGATTATGAGTTTCATATCAATTTTAATGTTGATGGTTTTCATAATGTGAAGAATTATAAGGTTTTAAAAGATTACAAATTAGCAGAAAGTTTTTTTACAAATTAGCAGCTAGTTTTGCAGAAAATAACAATTATATTCCTGAACATGGTTTTTGAGTGTAAATATTTAATACAATATATGAGACCTATTGCATTCAGTTTACGGAACCTATTTCATTCAGTATATGGTACCTATTTCATTCAGTTTACGGGACATATTTCATTCATATACGGGACCTACTTCATTCAATATATGAGAACTATTTCATTCAGTATATGGGACATATTTCATTCAGTTTACGGGACCTATTTCATTCAGTATATGAGAACTATTTCATTCAGTATATGGGACTTATTTTATTCAGTATATGGAATCAATTTTATTCAGTATATGATGTCTATTTTATCCAGTACACGAGACCTATTTAATTCAGTATATGAGACCTATTTCATTCAGTATATGGGGCTTATGAAAAGGATTAAATGCATGCATGGATCAGCGTCGCCAATTCCTAGTGGGATAATTATTTTGGTAAATATAAAAATTCTTAAATCCAAATCAATATTTGTTTTAAAGACTTGTAAAAAATTAACAAAGTTCCATTTTAATACAATAATTTCTCAGTATTCTTAATGACCCATTTCACAAGTGAATTTTGTATTAGAACCAAGAAAGGGGCACGTGAAGACTTTTGTTGAAAATTTTAATCTTAAATTTATGTAGTCGGGGCAACAGGGAATAAACCTCGTGAGAGCAGTTGTCATTAAAATATTTGTAGAAAAGACAAAGGGAAACCACATCGCGTCTGTAAGAAAGTGACTGAAGACGAGATGCCAAGTCAGGATCGATTACACTGCAGATCCTTCTTTGGATTTTATCAGGAACCTTGAGATGAATAGCAGGAGCACCAGACCAGATATGACAACAGTATTCAATGCATGACGAATGGTAGATTTGTAAATGTGTAAGATGGACTCTGATGAGAAAAACCTTCTAGCATGACACAATGAACCAACTTTCCTTGCAGTAGATGCAACTATTGATTCAATGTAGTTGTTCCACTTCAAGTCAGTTGAAAACGTGAGGCCAAGAAGGCTCAGTGAGACGCTCTCCTGGAGTCAAGCATCAGCCATGCTGGTAGTGGGGAGGGAAGTTTCTCTATGGTAGTTAAATGAGATCAGTTTAGTTTGGGAGGAATTAAAATTTACAAGCCATTTCCTGCCCCAGTTAACTACTGATTGGAGGTCGTTTACAAGTACAGCAACCAGGTTAAGTTTATCAGGTCTGACGGATTTGCTATTGAGACAGGAGTAAATGTTAGTGTCATCTGCATAAATGCCAACTTGGGAACTGATGACGTCAGGAACATCATTGATGAAGATCAGAAACAGCGTAGGACCCAGGATAGAGCCTTGGGGGACACCCGCGTTCGTGTGAAAGGATCTGGAAGCGATCCTGTTCAGAACGACCTTCGTTTCACGATTTGATAGGGATGATTGGATTAAATCAAACAATCGTACTGTAATGCCGTGGCCCCGAAATTTACGTAGAAGAACAGCATGCCAAACCCTGTCAAACGTCTTCAAGATATCTAGAGTCAAAGCACGAGCTTCGTCGTTATTATCAAGAGCTTGATATATATA